GAAATAAATTATTAGAAACTGAACTGAAACATGCCCTAAGTAGAGTTTTGAAGTAGTATGCATTTGTTTGAGTTCTCCCTCCGATTCATAATAATCACTAAACTTTAACCGGTACATATGTATAAAAGCTTGATCTAATAAAAATATATACTACCTCTGTTACATGTTATGTGCAACGATTTAACATAAAGCAGAGAAGGAAAATGTTTAATCATTGCACATAACCTGTAACGGAGGTAGTATAAAGATTAGTCGAAAAATATACTGCATGGCAATATATGTTTGCATTGCAATATATGTTTTTTACAAAATCATACAAAATAGAGTCAATGTAAACATATGAATAGTGCAAAAGTCTGCCTTGTTTGGTTGACAAACAAATTCATGGGATTTTTTATTTCCTAGCTAGGAAATGAATTTATACATGTTTGTTTGGTTGACAATAATGTAGGAATTGGAACTTCCTAGGAAGTTCCACTTCCCTCAAAATAAAGGAATTAACTTACCTAGTCTCCCCTAGGTAAGTGGAACTTCCCATGGGAAGTGGAAATTCCCACATCTAACCAAACAATTGTTGGAAATTCCTAGGAATTACAATTTCATAGGAATTGAAATTTCATGTGAACTTCTACTTCCCACATCCAACCAAACAAGGCCTTTAAGTGTTACAATTATTACAAACGGATCACATAGAACAGTAAACTACCACAAATGTTGTACATTGTCAGTCTGCCACTATAGCTAACAACGACAAATGAATAAAATTTTGCATTAAGTGGTAGATGTTCTAGAGTTCTAAGTGCATTATTGAATTTCTCCAAATAAACACCAAAATTCATCAAAACAGCAAATTTTTCTTGCTTCTATAAACAATAATTTACTTGTTGGAAGAGTTTAATAATTACACCTGATTCAAAGTTATTTGATATCATTATTATTATGTAATAGAAGTTGTAGTTTGAACTTAAAACTAGTCATATTAATACAAATTATGGTAAATTTAATTACTCATAATTAAAAATGGGGAATTCTTCTCACGAGTTGGTTGTAAGATATGTAACACATTTTAATTACTTCTATTCTATTAGCACAAGTCTAGAGGATTAAAAAATGAAAAAAAAACATATGTGCAATTGGATGTAGGCATGATATCTAACTTTATGGAAAGTTAGAGAACATTTTTCGTTATTGAGTATATAAATGTTTAAGGGTCTGTTCCGATATACTAAAACAACTGAACTGAATTGACTAAGCTGAACCAAACTGTTTATGAGAGAAAGAAATTAGGAACTGAACTGAATTGATTGAAGCTATATTGAATTGAACTGAAATTAAGCTGAATAAAACAGGCCCTAAAACTGAAGATTTAGGTACCATAGATTACAATCCTTAAAGCTCAATCGAATCTAAAAAAAACATTCATAAAGAGAAACGATAAAAATCAATTTGGGACGAAGGGAAGATTTGTTTGTCATGAATTAATTACTTGGTACTTCAAAAGGAAGAAAAAAATGATAGTTGGAGATGTCAGAGTGTCAGGTGATCTGATAAAACTTGTGGGCCAGTTGGTGTTGGATAAAAGCCCAATAATAATAACAGTGGGCTCAGAAGGGCCAGCTAAGGGCTTGTTGACATGGACTTGGTTTGGATGTAGTGTGGTTGCGGAAGAGCTATGAACATGCGTGGTCTAACTCTAAGTATTCACGTTATGGACTTTATTAGTGTTTGGGCCCACTTTAGGATGCGTCCAAGGTTGCCATCTCATACGGATTAGCGGACTGATTGACGTCGTCACGTCGGCAATACTTGAGCTTTGTTACACTCATTCTTTCAATGATTTTTCAACATGAAAGAAGTACTTCCTTTCTCATGCTAGGGTTTTACGAAATACGTGTTGGAGTGTCATCATTTTTTGCCCTATAATAGTTTTACTTGTTACTCCATTAATGATCGTAATTAGAGATGTCAATTCGGATGATTGGATCGGAACTGATGAGATCGGGCCGGGTTAATTTTTAAAGTTGAGTCATTTATTATGCTTACGCGAGTCTAAATCTAAATCGGATATTTTTCCGGGTTGGTTTCGGGTTGAGTCGGGTCGGGTGTGCTTTCGACACCTCTGACCGTAACAATGTTTGTTGGTATTAAGTTGTGCTTACTTTGTATTTTAAATTTTTAATACTTGCTCTATTTCTCCAAATACGAAGTTTTAGAAGAAATAGTAAAAAAAAATATATACAGTATTTAATTTTATGATGGAAGTGAGGTTGGCTGAAACTTAAAAAATCTGATAAAGTAAAAGTGAATATAAGTGGAGGGAGAGAGAATATGAAAAATATTAAAGTATGATTTGAGGGGATCACTAATAATGGGGAGGAAAATAGTAAAATATCGTTAAAAGTTTTTAAAAGGAAACGGAACAAGTAATAAAATACGGTCACAAATGAAAAGTGGAGCAAGTAATAAAATACGGACAGAGTATTTGTCAATCACAAATATACTTCTTCATTACTTTTTTTTTTTTAACAAGAAAGGAATTTAAATTATACTTCCTCCACTTTATTTTAGATGCAATATACCTTTTAGCGCGGTAATTAAGAAAGGTGGAGTTTACATGATACAATAAACTTTAAAATAGGATGAATGGTTGTTGGGAGTGTAATTTAGTGGGCCATGTGTTTTAAATAAAGAAAATAGTATAGTTTTTTCTTAAAATAACTTTCCTTTTATAGTGTTTTGCAAGTATTGTGACATTTCCGTTTTAGAGGAAAGTGTTGCAAGTAAAAGAAAACGGAGAAAGTATAAAGATGCTTAAAGCATCAAAGATAGTCAAAGTTTGATGGCAAAATAAGGCAACCATGCTGTTACAGCTACTGAAAATTGCAGCCATGGTTCCTGAACTATCCTTAGTATACATACTTCTTCATTACTACGGAGTAGCTAGTAGAGTAGTAGTATGTGGCTTCAACAAGAATTTCACTTTTGTTGGTATCAAGATAATTCTTTTTTGGTCTATAGGATGACATATATGATACCATTTATAAACAAAGCACAAATTAATATACAAACGAGCATTGTAAGTTAAGAATTTCTCATTGGTGTAAGTTTTGGAACATATAAGTATAACTATATAAAGTATGTTATTATTTTCCTAATCTTTGTAGAATATCGATCTTTTACATGGGTAATAACATTAGTGGTTGTTAATTATATTAGTAAGAAAGAGTTTACTAGCAATCTCAGAAAACTGTATTGTTGTAATGTTGTTATAATCAAAGTTTTACAGTAGCGATTTAATGGCTTAGGAAGTGTAAGAAAATTATATACACCTGAATGCAAGGTGCATTTCAAGGATATATGTTTTATAAGTAATAGTTTAAGTTATGTGCATAAGAAGCGGACTTGCAAAACTTAAATCGAATAAGATTGATTAGTATGGATTAATGGAATATATATGGAGTGATAATATAGCCATGATTCTTTAAGAATGTTTCTTCCCTCCTAGCTACGTCTGTATTAAAATGACGTGTATTTTCCATTATTTGTGTATTTTAACTCAATTTATACAACCTTAAAAGAAAGAAAATGGAACAACTAAAATGATGGGCTGGAATATAGTTCAATTTACTTCCTATCACAAAATCATTTTTATTATTTTTAAGTTTTTTTAATTATAAAAAAATTATCAAATTATTATTATTATTATTATTTTTTTTGACAAGATCAAATTATTTTTTACTTATTCGCAACACATCATTTTGACACATAATTTCAAAAAGATACATAGTATATTTTAGATGATGGAAAAATTAATAATTTTATCACCAAGAAGAAAAATAACTGCTTAATTAACACAATTTAATTTAAATTTAATCAATTATTAATTCATTTAGTTCACTAATAAACAAGTCTAGGCCAAATCCGTCACAAATGTCCACTTCATAAGTCCAATGAGATTTCACCTCAAAACCATATGGCAATGAGGGGATTAACTCTTTACCTTTATAAAGAAGACACAACTTTCTTGTTTTTCAATGTGAGATACACTTTCTAACACTTTTAAGTTCCTTCAATGTAAGACAACACTTTCACTAACATGTGAGTTTGTTAATCACGAGCTCAACAGTTAACTTCTGTAATCAATTCATTAGATAGTGTAGGGTTTGGTTTATATACAAAGATTTATGCAAAAAGTGTTAGTAGCAAACTGGCAACCAATAAAAATGGAGCTGAGTAGACTACATCAATCAAGGATGACATATTAGATCTAGCTTTTTTGTAAAGGTTGCTATAACGACCATGCATATATGTCGACCATGCATAAGTACCCTGTTGGTAAAAACATTTTGTTCGAGTTTGAACACAAATACAAATTAAAGTCTCATAACTTTATAGCTTAGTAGGGCTACCACCACTAGTTAATGAATACTTACAAAATTGTACATCTTTAAAATCTTTTGAATTGATTTCATTTCTATCAATCATTTTCAAGGTAGTAAATTTTATGATTTTATGATATTTAAAAATTTCTAATTCGTATTTTGTATTGTTTGCATATTCGATCTAGGATGTCAGCTGTGGAAAATAAGTTTAGATACGTGTTCATCTATTTTATTTTGTCTTCCACTATGATATAATGATTTCGAGTCATATTTGAGTCTGTAGGAAAGAAAAATTTGGACATTGAATATGACTGAACACAAAAATCAACTTCATGCATGCAACTATGTTTTATATATAAGAACAACTGTGTGCTATTGGACAACGTCAAAGCCTTAATTTCGATTCAAAACAATACTAGATATATTTGGCTTCATTTATTCATATTGATAGAGAAATGAGATAATAAAATACTCCATCCGTCCCAAAAAGAACGACCCATTTGGCCAAAACTTTGTCCCAAAAAGAATGACCCATTTGCATTAAAACACCACCAATTTGCAACAATATTTAATTAGCTTCCCCATATAAAAATTTCATTTTCCATGTTATTTTATTACTTTCTCTCTCTATTTTTTTACAAATTAAACCCCATATAAATTTATCTTTCCAATATACTTTTACTTCTTTTTACTTAACTTCCTTAATACCCGCATAATCAACCCAAATGGGTCGTTCTTTTTGGGACGGAGGGAGTAGATCAAACTAGTTACATTACATTTATAATATACGTAGTACCTAATTAATAACGACATACACATTTAATAACAACATTACAAACCTAATTAATAACATACACACTAATTAAGCACAAAATGACACAAGACCTAATTAATAACATACACATTTAATTAAGCACAAAATGACACAAGATACATGAATGGTGGAGGTGGAGGAGAGGGGGAAAAAGGACAAATTACAAGAAAAGAATTATATAAATTATTTAAATGAATTAAACTAGGTTGAAGATTTCTCATTGTTAGGGGTCTTGAAGGGCATGGCTCTAAGAACAATCTGGTGGTAAACAGCAGCAAGAGCAGCTCCAATGAAGGGTCCCACCCAAAATATCCACTGCATAATTAATTAAGACCATAATTAATTAGTGAGGACATAATAATACGGAGTAATAAAAATCATAATGTAAGTGATCAAAAATTAATATCATATTAATTAACACTAATTAATAATGAAGGAACATACTTGGTCATTCCAAGCTAAGGCGTTGTTGTAGATGATTGCAGCTCCTAAACTCCTAGCTGGGTTGATCCCAGTTCCAGTGATTGGTATGGTTGCCAAGTGAACGACAAACACCGCAAATCCAATTGGAAGCGGAGCCAGTATCTACAAATTAAAATTACGCAATAACATAATATTAGTACATATATATATAGCCATTATTGTTCATTTTTTAGATAAGTTTAGATGGGAGTTACTAAGATTATAATTAACTGAAATTCATGTAAATACGAGAATAAATAAAAGCCGAATAAATTATCTATTGCAATGATTGAATCTTAATCTCCATGGCTTCATCGATCACTCAAATACTATCCAATGTAGATCACACACATTATTATTGATGGCTAGTATGTATTGTTTTGATAAAAAAAAACATTCAATGAATAAAATTAAATTCCCACAATAAGGCAGGCAATAATATTTTTTGTGCAGTAGATATAAAGTATGACTGTATGAGACATGTCACACTCACACAGCTATTTTTGGAAAGTGATGTACAGTAAGTTGCATTGTAATACGTACATTATTATTGTGATTCTGAATCCAAATGAGTGGGGTTTACTACATATGGCAACAAATCATCGAGTCAGCCAATCACTATAAGTTGAATGGTACTAATCGTTCGATCTTATTATTATGATGTTATTAGGAAGATTAAAAAAAATAAAAAGACAGAAATATAATTTGAATTATTTGTCCTACTTATTTTTATAGTACAAGTGAGTATACCCCAAATAGATTGTTACAGTTAAGGTGTTAGTTTTTGTACTAGTTTTGAAAAATCTGAACAAGTTATACTTTTCAGAGTTTTGGTACAATTGCTACCCCATTTAATCAGCTTTATGAGTCAAAAGAATGAAAAAGGGGTATTTACAAGCAACTTTGATTTATGCAGAAACCAGTGTTTGTATTTGCTTTGGAAAATCAAATTTGTATAAAAATGTTACATGCAAGAGTTGTGTTAATCTTGATAATGAAGGTTGAAACTTTTGCTTACTTAAAAGGGTTAATTTAGGAGTTAGAATTTGGATTTCGATCTTAGAATTTATTCAATTTTTGGTGATATAGTTTTATTTACAGAAAATCAATTCTCTTATTCAAGTGTTTTAAATGTGTAATGTCAATCAAACACGTATCTATAAGACAATTGGGAATCAATTTGGACATTAAACCCTCTCTCAAATTCTTTTTTGCACTTCTACTTGTGTAGGAGTTGTTCCTAATATATCAATTGTGTTTGGTTATTAGAGACATTTAAACTAGTTTAGACCTATAGACTTGTTGGAAGCTATGCTAATAATGATTTCAAACTTTGGATTAAATTTAAAGAACAAACATGATGATTTTAAAAAATTAGTGTATAATAATTATAGCTAATTATATTAACACGCATATACTTCAATTCATCTATTAGTTACGGAGTATATTATTATATCTCTAATCAAGGTCAAAATTTGTGAATTTCAATCAATCTAATTTTACTGAAAGTAATGTATACAAATTTATATCTATATAATATATTATTATGTCGAATTTTTAAATATTCGTCACAGTGGTTATTTTAAAATCTCAAAGTTTTTATACAAATTAATTAAAAACTCAGCATAATAATTTATACAACTTAGTTCTGTGAAGTTTTTTAGTAAAACAAACTTAAAGAATGAAGTATATAGTTAACAACAATGAAAATAAAATAATGAAGAGTTAATTTAAACAAAATCAAACTTACAGGAATAGGTGAATCTCTAGCAATTCTCTTAGGATCAGTAGCAGAGAAAACAGTGTAAACGAGAACAAAAGTACCAACAATCTCAGCACCAAGACCACCAGCCTTAGTATAACCAAGGTTAACCTTATTCGCGCCGCCACCCAACACGTCGTATGGGGTGGCCTGGAACCCTTTAACCACCCCAGCACCACATATGGCTCCCAAACACTGCATCAACATGTAGAATACTGCCCTTGTTAGGGACAGTTTTCTTGCCAATAGCATCCCAAAGCTCACTGCTGGATTTATGTGTCCACCTGCCACATTTTAATCCAACAATTTTATCATTAATTTTTCTTAATTAGCACAATACAACATAACTATATTACTAATCTTGTACAAACACAAAACTTGTAAAGGTCGTAATAGCCAATATAAATAATAGCGGATAATGACCTAAGATACATGAACTCTTCTTATTTATCTCAAATATCCATGTCAGATACTATATTTTATTTGGACCAACACATAAAATGTGGCATAACACACATTAGTATGTACCTAGTAATAACATGAGAGGTTACAATGGCTACAAATAAAATTGTTGTATGGTAGCCATTGCAAAATTGTCGCATTAAAAAAATATAAACAAACAATACAATATAAAAAAAAAAAATGAAAATAATTCAAGAGGAGAAATTGATTACCAGAAATACCAGCAGTACAATAAACAAGGGCAAAAATCATGCCACCAAAGGCCCAAGCAATGCCCTGAACACCAACAGTGGCACACTTGTTAGTAGCGCGGCCGACGCCCATGACAGTCAAAACGGAGACGTAGACGAACAAGAAGGTGGCTACAAATTCGGCAATACCGGCTCTATAAAAAGACCAAGTCCTGAGCTCGCCGTGCTCGAACATGGGAGACGGCGGCGGGTCCTTGTAGTCCTTAGGAGGAGCCGGAGCTAAGGTACCAATAGGTACTTTATCAGGGTACTTGTTTAGTCCCAAATCTACGTCATGATCATCATCATCCCTTGACCTATGCCTTGATGATGAGTCTTTTGCTGCCATTTTATTTTTGGGTTTTTACTCACTTTCTTTTTGCTTTGTGTTTGTGTAGGAAGATGGGAAAATGGTTGTTTAAAGAGGTTGATGTAAGTGAGGGGTTTACTTATATGGGATTCTTTTTATAGAAACCAAGGAGTACCTTGTATTCAATTTTTTTTTTTTATATTTTTTTTTTTATTTTTCAAATAATGCATATATCTGACCTATATAAATAAGATACTCCATCCATCCCTAAATTACATTTCTATTTCTAGCATTTATTCCTCGCATAATAAAGGAAAACATGAATGTAATTTAGGGACGGATGAAATATAAATCAGATAAAGTTCGAGAAAAATATGTTCTATGACTTTTCGACTAAGGGTAGTGTCTTACAACATCACCCTTTTATTAGGTAGTTTCTTACAACATTTTTTTTATTAACGTAGCTTTTTATAAAATGTTCTAAAAATGATCAAATTTGACAACTTATCAGATTGAGTCATATGGGTGTAAGGGCCTGTTCTCATACGTTGAAATTCAGTTCAGTTCAGTTCAATTCAGATCAGCTCAGTTCAGTTCAGCTCCTAATTTCCTTCTCTTATAAAATATTCTGTTCAGTTCAGCTCAGCTCAGCTCAGTTCAGTTCAACTCAGTTCAGTCAATGAGAACAAGCCGTAAATATGCTAATAAGATTGTCATAATAAGATAGTCAACAAGCAAACAACTTAATTGTCTTGTACATTTATGTAATAAGGGAATCAGGCTTAAACAATTTTAGGATCTCTTTAATAAATGAGCTTGAGCTTGAGCTTGAGCTTGATCATGAACATGAACATGGTTATACTCATCTTGTTCACAGTTCATATGTATAAGCTTATAAATATATGTTTATTTTTGTATGTCCATGTATGTATGTTCATGAAAAAACTTGTCTGATTTACAAGATAAAGCTTGTTTAAATTACTTATTCACAATTGTTATTATTTTAATTTATTAGTTGGTTTATAAAATAAAATGTAGACTTTTTTTACTTGGAATTGATTGAATTGGTATGTTTAATCTTAAGACTTTCAAATGTTATAAGTGCAAGTGCATGTCTTTTATAATTTGTAATACAAATCGATTATGAATTGAACTTGGCTAAATTAATATATGAGTTATCACAAAATCTAGCTATACTCATGTAATTAAAAAAAAAAAAAAAATACCGAGATTGAGTAGGTTTTTGAGTTCAATTGAAAGTATGAGTTCACCTCAATTTGGGTTGAATAAACCCTAAGCTACATGACTTCTTTTTTATGCTGCTATAAAATATATACGAGTATCTTATTACTTAATTAGGGTTGCAATTATTATCTATAAGTCAATGCAAGCAACTTATTATTGATTTTAAGTAATGGGAAAGGTCTTTTATGATTTTTATAACCGTTACACACTTATACACATCATGACGTCTTGGATAATCATTAAGTAATATTGCTATAATTAGAATAATTACATGTGTTACTGGAAATGGAGCTTAGAATAAAATTAGAAAGGAATATATTCTGGAAAGTGGGAAGAATATTGGCTGTCGACATAATATTTTTTTGTATTTTATTTATTTGCACAAGAATATCCAACCACTGATGATTTAAGCATTTAATTAAATTTGTGTATTTAGCCCAAGCCTAATAAAAATTCTAGTAATACAGAATTTCAAATAAATATCAAGCAAGACTTGATTTTATGATAAAGCTAAAGTTTTATTGCATATGTTTTCCGATATCTCATATCTCTAACATTATAACATGTAAAATGTTAATTAGATTGAACTTAAGGTACCAGTTTAGTAGAATCTTTTGCTTTAGCTTGCCTTTAACTTGATATTTTCAAATAAGATTGAAGTACATACTACCAATGATTTTACTAAAGTTGATTTAATATTGACACAATACAATACAAATGTCGAGACAAATCCTATAAGATCCCACAACAATGTAATCAGAGTGAAGTTTTTGAACAATTTTGTGAAAAGTTAAAATAAGAACTTTCAGAAACAGAAGCAGCATTCCATTTTTGACTTTTTGTTGTCAATGACTTTGAATTTCAAATACTTTGGATTTTGTTTTGTGGGATTTAGAGTACTTGGCATATATTTTGAAGATGTATACATACATACATAAATTAAATGAATACTTGTATGTGATATATATACATCCATCGTTGTCCGTAGAGAAAAGTGAAGGCATGAAACTGAGTGGAGCACATGGAGTGGAGGAATGGGGTCTTAAAGCAACGAACCCTGGCCTAGCCTTTTCGATCATTTTGGTATGTATATGTAGTAGAAGAGTACGTATCCACAAAATTTGAATGATACCAACAATGTAACAATGTTTGTGGTCCTATTACTTGGTATACAAATTTCTACAATGTGAATTCATTGACAACCTTGCAAATACATTGGGGGTGAAGCAAGATTATTCCTTTTATCTGGAAAACTTTTAGGATCTAGCTAGAACTAGAATGGATTGAGACTGGTCACATAATACTAGAACGAATCAAATTTTAAATTAGTTTTAAAAGTTACTCGTAATTGAAATTGAAATTGGAGCCACCAAATAATACTAATAATAACATCTCGCGCATTAAATGAGTTTCTTTTGATTTCTATTCATATGTTTTTCACCTATATACACTTGTTTGAGCTAATTTGTTAACTTAATTATCTACGCGAATTTGAATGATCGGGCTTATTATAAATTATTTTAATCATTGATCGAATTTGGGTAATAACCTTTGATGCTTAATTTTTCAAAACTTATATTATTTGAGTTTATAGCTCATATTGAAACTTAACTATATTTCCTAAAATAAGTGGAAAATAAGCTAAATAGAATAGGGCAATGATCAATACAATGTTTTTTACAACAAGAACAATGGCCAAATTTAGCTTGAGCATTAAAAACCAATCAATATAATATATTAATAAACCATATATGTAAAATGTATGTAGTACTTCCTCAAACCAAAAAAAAAAAAAAGCCATAGAAGTCATTGTAAGTTCAAGAAAAGATACACGCAAAGATAGTTATTTTTTTTTATTTTTTTTTTTATTCCTCTTGTTTTAAAGCGTGTTTTTAATAATACTGAACTTATCTATCAATGATGTACAAGTACACTTGATCGAAACAAATTAAAACCCGACTATTCTTTTCTCTACCACGTAAATACATATACTCACTGGAGTCACGACGACATGTTACACCACATACATGAGTCCCGTTAATCCACATTATTTTGTTGGTATAACATTCCCTACAGTCTCATCTGCTATACCCCTCAGCTCTTTGTATGTGTATAAACTTGTGTCTTTATTTTCTTTTACATACACATTAATAATTTGTATGAAAGTTACAAGAAGAAGCAAACATAGATTTTTTGTCAAGGATAAGACAAGTCACATTGTTAATTGGGGCCCAACACCCCCCTGGAGTTTGCCCTTTTCTTCGTCGTGGCCATCTCACATGCATGCATAATTCTTTAAATTTTAAATTATTAGGTTTACGTAATTCCATCACAATATTAATGTTACTCTTTTGGTTTTTTTTTTCTTGACACTTGCCACCCATGCATATGACTAACAATAGTTTCTGTGATATAATATTGTACTTTCTATATTCCCTAAAAAAAAATAAAAAAAAAAACCTTGCACTATTATTTTTGTTTAGTGGTTTATTAGTCAATTATATTATTTAGAGTTGTGGTCCAATGATATTTTTTTGGTATATATATATTACTATGACATTGTAGGATAATTACATAAATATAAATATACACTTAAGACTAATTTAGGGACTTTCGTGTTTATGAAGCAACATACAAGAATGGAAAGTCACATACATTAGTTTAATGAGCAACAACTGCATATTACAAATCAAAAGGATCTAGCAGTAAATATAATAAGGGATTTTATACTAGCTAGAGACAATATTACTATATTTGTGATTGTATGAGGTACATAAGAAAGAATATTGATTGTTCTTTATTCTAATACATAAAATTTGATTCGACAACTCTATGATGATCCGTATTTTGTATGATTACTCAATTAACGACATCACTTAGTTGAAACGTACTGAATTCAAACTCGTATATTTGATAATGTATGATGTAAAATAATAAGAATATATATACTTACAACTAACATCATTATTCTCTTTAAATTATTCTAATTTATAAGTAGTCGTCGCATAAATTTATATACTCCATTAATTGAATTATATTTTAATGTAAACTCTTTTCAATGCTACAAAAATTAAAAACTATTAAACTTAGATTATGTAGAAAATGAAATATGTTTACCCATTTTATTTTAATATATAGAATCTAGTCATGTATTGGAAAACTTAGTCATGTATTGGAAAACTTCAGGTACAGAGTATATATTTACATACATCATCTAAACTCTACATACAATTATGTTTCCTATATTAACTCTAGGTATCTATTTGCTTCATAAACTCTACACTGTACGACATGACTATTCTATCTTTTCCTAAACTAGCCTTGCAAGTTAAAAAACTAACCTAGCTTTTCATTATGGGTAGCAAATTAACCTTCAATTAAGCTGGACGGAACAACTTCCTTAATCCTTATAAGCTGCTTTAGTAAGATTTGACCTTATGATTTTGATGACGATACAAACTAACTTAATTATTTACAGACTAATAAGAGAGCTTGATTGTTTAAGTGTGTGATCAGATGCAATGACTAGGAGAATTGAATTGAGTTGTCTGCAAAAGATTCCATGAGGAACAAGATAGCCAGGGACAAAGTAATCCAAAAGAGAAGATCGGAGCTGGTGCTTCAGAAATGAAGTATTGAGAAGAGAAGTTTCCCTCAAGGAACAGAAGCTTCCCAGAGAAGAAAAGTTCCTTTCAAGGAACAGAAGTCTCATAGTAGAAGCTTCAACTTAGAAACATGAAGACTAAAATATTTTATGTTTTAGGATTTATGTAAGTAAATTACACTTTAACTTAGTTGTGTGGAATTGGTCTAAGGAGATTAAATTGTGCGTTGCTTAATTTTAGAAAAATAGTTGAGTTTAAAATCTTATCCTTTTATTTTATAAAAAGGAATTTAATTTCTCTAAATTTTGAAATGTCTGTTAAATAAATAAAATTTGATTTTTGTTTTCCAAAACTTAGCTTGCGGACTACTCTCCATGAATTTTTCTATGTAATGGTCTTGTACATTAAGGAGTTCGTGTCCTTATTTTTAGGGAATGTTCTACTTAGTGGGGTTTGAGGGCCTATTCTCTTCATATTATTTTCAGTTCATTTCAGTTCAGCTCCAATAAGTTCAATTCAATTCAGTTCAGTTCTTAGTTTCCTTCAATTCTCTCATAAAATATTCAGTTTAGCTCAGTTCAAT